CATGCTACTTGCACCTTTCAGAAGTAAAGACAACATTTGGTAATTGTTCTTAATTCCAAGATCGTGGTGAATCAAGTATCATCGCATCCCGCGTATGTTTGAAAACTGTTATCCCTTACCAGTCCGACTTTTAATCGGCGATTGGACTCACGTTGCCATCGATTGACTGTGATCGCGTAGGATTACTAAAACATTACTGAAAATGAAATGTCATAACTTCCTTAAAGAATGAATGTCCAGCCTCCCCTCACATCCATGGTCAATGGAACTCCCACTCAGTCACACATCTCTAAGTACATCTATATACATTATTTCTGTACATCAGCACACGGCTGTACCCATAACCAGGAGCAGGCGGCGTCCACTTTCTGCTGTCTTTAGAGTCGCACTCCGCGGGAGGCTAATTACTCGCTTCATTGATAATGCAGCATGACACTGATCACGCTCGAGAACACGAGGCTCGTCCTGTCCTATGAGTGACGTAAATTTCTGTCTCTCTCTCTCTGGGCTGCAGTGTTTTGAAAGCAACGTTGTTATGTTGGTTTTCGCATTTTGTAAATATAGTAGATGCAATTATATTTTCGCCAAATTTCAGCTCTTCTAAGAACATCCCGGAATTTAAACCGGCCACTAAGCTGTCTATTTCTTCGAGAATATCTCAGAATTTAAATCGGACACTCAGCTGCATATCTCTTCTAGAACATCTCAGAATTTAAATCGGGCACTCAGCTGTCTATCTCTTCGAGAACATCTCAGAATTTAAACCAGGCACTCAGTTCTCTAGCCCTTCTATAACAGCATCAGAAGCTACTCTATAATTCTCGTATGTTAGTATTCGGTACAAAGTGAAAAAAAAATGTGTTCCATAATCAATGGGGTGGCCGCTCATCTCCACGAGTATCCCTGATCCGGTCATGGAAATTCCACATTCCCATTGCATAATACTTTCTCTCCATAGGACAACCTCTGTTGGGGTGGTCGGTCTCCTCGATGTTACCTCCTCCCGGGCAAGTAGATGATTGGCCTTTCTGATTGTGAGTCGAGAATTTTTAGCATAGTTGTCACCGCGCCTTATCATACCATAGAGAGGATTGATGTTTTCTGAGGGGCTAACATGCAAACAACATGCAAACAACATGTTACAAAGTGACCGCAAACATCGGAACCAAACGCAAAAAAACCAATGCAGTATTTACTTTGCATGCAAAAAATCGTGCGATTTATTATTTAATACGATATGCTATATAAAACAGCGATAATATAGACATTTCCTTTGTAAATCCACTGCTGAACGAATACCTCCCCATGACGTGTCGGTTGTGGGGGGTCGTTAGTTCGACTATACTTCACCACGCTGGTCAGTACGAGTTAGTGAAAGGGGTACCCCAGTCACGTTATCCCGTGGCCAGGCATCAAACCCAGGCGCGCGAACCACTGCGCCACTTTTCCCTCCCCCCTCCGTATATAACACATTGTCCTGCGGAGGGAGCTGGTAGGAACGTTGGGTTGCTCGGTTAATGGCCAGGGCACAAGCCGGCGTCAGTAGGTTAAACGTTGAGTTTTATAAGGGCACCACGGGGTGACCAGCCCCTCCCCACCCAGCCCCACCCCTCCCACCCCCCACCCAGCCCCACACTCCCCACCCTCCCCACCCAGCCCATCCCCACCCTCCCCACCCAGCCCCTCCCCATCCTCCCCTCTCCACCCAGCCCCACCCCTCCCATTTTTGGATGCACGACGGACGGACGGACACAATAATCCCATGTGGGCTGGTGTAACCAGGAGGTTCCTACCAGTAAAATATTACTTGTAATATAATGCCGGAGATTGAGCGACGGGCAGGACGAATCGCTGTGTCTATGCAGGGGGACAATGACTCGTGTCGTAACTGAGCACAGCTGCAGTCCACCTCCGATTAGTGTCAAATTCCGATGTTGCGCCTCGCTCGGGTCAATCATCATCACCACCACCATCACCACCATCGTCTCCAACGCACGCACGCACGCACGCGATGTGCTCGCCGCTCTTGTCCGTGAGCGTGGCGGCGAGCGAGCGCGGTCACGTTTACAGGTGCGGGGTTTACAGGTGCGGGGTTTACAGGTGCGGGGATTACAGGTGCGGGGTTTACCTGCGGCACGGCAACCCCCCCCCCCCATACGCCTCCAGGACGCGGCCACATCACTTGGCTGGATACGTGCCATCGTTGTTTTAATGTTGTTGTTGTTGTTTTGACTTAAAACTTTCGTGACTGCAGGGATTAATATTCTTTGGTTCTTTCGGTAAAGTCACGTAGATAGAAAAATGAAAAGTGAATAACAGCATCAGGCTACAGTCTACATTATAGACTGTCAGTACGCTCACCGAGGTTAAGAACCAGGCTACACTCTACATTATAGACTGCCAGTACACTCACCAATCTTAATAGCCAGGCTACAGTTTACATTATAGATTGCCAGTACACTCCGATTAAGAACCAGGCTACAGTCTACATTTGTGTTTTTTTTTATTATTTGTATTTAATTTGTTATTCACTTTATTTTATATTATTCTTTTTCTATCTACGTGACTTTACCGAAAGAACCAAATAATATTGTTGTTGTGAAACTTTTTTTTTGTAAATTAACATTCACATTGATTTTCTTGCTCAAATGAGCATTGATATCCCGTTGTTCAACTCCCGTTTACAGCTCCGCAGAGGCGGTGGTTGAAATTCCACATTACTATGGTGGGGGGCGAGTCTATCCATAAAACAACCATTTCCACACAAAGTGGTACTCGCTCTTTTATATCGATCTCCGGACGGATGATAGGCTGAGTTGACCTCCCAAACTGGGTTTTATTGAACTTGCAACCTTCAACTTGCGAGCCGCTCGCTCGCTTTACCACGGAGTGACCTGATGATGGATTCCCTTACTTACCCGGGGGGACCTCACCGACTCGCCAGACTTTTTCAGGAGGGCCCTGCGAAATTTGCGATGTTTGTCCAAATTCCAAAGCGAAGGAAACGTGAGTAACCTGGAGGGAATCCACCACGTGCAGGGATGGGAATAACCCACAAACGTCACCGCAAAGACGTTCTTCACGAACCCACTTGCTCTACTGCCATCTCATGGCCACCTCGCATGCAGCCCCAGCCGGGGTTGTGAGCATTTCACAAATCTCGACGCAGTCCACCAACTCTCGCCGCCACAGCGCTGGATCGCAAGCGTGTGCCCACCACGCCTCCTCGCCTAACGATTTATTATTTGGGGGTCAATGAGCCTCAAGACTCTATTTCAGGAGCGTCCTGCATGGGGGATGTTTGGCCAATGCCAAACAATATTGAGAGTTTGAATTCGTGCCGTAAAAATGCCCACTGTTAACCGGAGAAAACGCACCGCGGATACGAGGGTGTTCGCGCTCAGAGTTCTGCACCGATGGATTTAATAACTTCTCTACCCTGGTCACCTCGCAGCCTATAACACCTGTTATTCCCCGAAAGTCTTCCCATCGGTTAATCCCGCTGTAAATGGTTATAAACGATCCCCTGGTGCGGAGCGGTGGTGCAGCAGTTAGCCGCGAACTGCATTTGCAAACCCACACATACCAGCGTGGTGAAGTATGTCCAAACAAACCCGCACGACCTATAGGGCGTGTGGAGACCTCAATCCTGTATCGCATTGAGAAAAGGGCTGTAAATTGTTATCACATGTAATTATAACTACGGTATTGTTAGATCGTACTAATAGGGGGAGTCGTTATTGGCAAAGCACAGCTGGGTAAGGGAGGGCCTCTGCACGCCATATCCGGGTTGTGGGGGGTTATTTGACCATACTTCACCACGCCGGTCACGGCGGGATGGCGAACGCGGGTAGCAAACCCGAAGCGGAGGCATGACGACGTTGCTCCATTGCTCCCACTACCCTTAGCCACACGAAGCCTAGAACACCTGTTATGCATGGTGGTCGCCCATCAACCCCCTGGCTTTAGCTTCCGATCAACTCCTATTAACTATTTTTTAAATAATAGTAGGTTTTTACCCTTTTAACTGGTACAAAACTGACACCTTTATTCAAGGCATCATGTTTGCAATGACCACAACACAAGTAGTCAAAAAAGCAAAAAAAAATAAGCAACTCTGATAAGGATGATAATATGCACTGTGCATATTATCATCCTTATCAGAGTTGCTTATTTTTGTTTGCTTTTTTGACTACTTGTGTTGTGGTCATTGCAAACATGATGCCTTGAATAAAGGTGTCAGTTTTGTACCAGTTAAAAGGGTAAAAACCTACTATTATATTTTGCCACTGGTAAAAGAGATCTCATAGAGTATTTTTTAAATGTTATTTTTACCAAGTAAGGCCCACCGAGCTATACTATATATCTTTTACAGAAACGACCAGCCTATCACAAATGATAGCTCAACGATGAGGCTTATCAAGTGGACATTTATCGCAGACAAATAATCTAAACCCGTAGAAAAATCCACGCGACCATGGGAAGCAAGAGAGAGACACGCAAACTCCAAATATACAGCAGCAGGCGTTAGGGTCGGGATTAAACCCACGACCTCCTGCATACCAGGCGAGGTAGTTAATATCTCCTAGCCACCGTGATGATGATGAGAGAGAGACACCGCAAACTCAAAATATACAGCGGGCGTTAGGATCGGGATCGAACCCACGACCTCCTGTATACCAGGCGAGGTAGTTAACATCTCCTAGTCACCGTGATGATGATGAGAGAGAGACACCGCAAACTCAAAATATACAGCGGGCATTAGGATCGGGATCGAACCCACGACCTCCTGTACACCAGGCGAGGTAGTTAACATCTCCTAGCCACCGTGATGATGAGAGAGAGAGACAGACACCGCCCACCCCAAATATACAGCAGGCGTCAGGGTCAGGATCGAACCCACGACCTCCTGTACACCAGGCGAGGTAGTTAACATCCCCTTGCCACCATGGTGCCCACAGATGATTTGATGACAGTCGTGAGGTATTCATGAACCCTACCATCTGGCATTCTTCCACGTCGCCCTTGGTCATGTCAACGGCACCGTGGCCTTGGGACGGAGGCTTGCGGACAGAGGGTCGGGGCCGCTGTGGTCGGCAGCCATGCAGTGCAGACGTCATGCAGACGCATCTATGAGGAGGAGATGGAGGTGGAGGTGCAGATGCAGGAGACGGCGACGGAGGTGCGGCTTGAGAAGCGACCGTCACTGACGGGTCTCTCTGCAACAGCTTGGTCGAGCGTGGCAACCTTGAGCAGGTGGTGGCTGTGGTTGCTGTGGTTGTGACGGTTGTGGCAAAGGGTGGTGTTGGTGGTGGTAGAGATGTCCAAAAGAACAGGGCTCCTTTAAGGGACACGTCCGCATCACCCCAACGCTCGCCGCAGCATCAGCGACGACACCCAAATCGCACCTTCTGCATGACCGCCTCCTTCTCTTGCTGCTGCTGATGATGATCCTGCTGCTGATGATGATGCTGCTGCTTCTGTTGTCGCTGCTGCTGCTGATGATGCCGACGATGATGATGTTGCGGCTGTTGCATGAGAGGCAGCGAGGAGCGAGGGTCGACTGCAGGCGACTTGGTCGGGACGGCCCCAGGCTGGACGAGTCGCTCGTGCAGTAGCGGACGCAGCAGCAGGAGCAGGAGCGTTCAGTGCAGCTTCTTTATCAGATGTAATCCGGGCCTTGATGACTTTACGTGGCTGCCCCGTTTAATAGTCATTTAATATCGCCGTTACTGCGACTACTACTGCTGCCACCACCGCGCAGCTTGCTCTTCACGTTATTGTTGAAACAAATCTCTCCCGTCCAGCCCGTCACGTCTTCCGAAAGATGCAATCCTCGGCGCAAAAACCATTTGTTGAAATGTACACGGGACACCACGTTTCCTTCTCACTGCACGCGCCACGCGCACGGCTCATATATATAATAGAATAGATACACGGACACACACACACAGAGCCTACGTTTCGCTCGGGTGTATTCACACGCACATTCTTCGATCATAGACGTGGTTACAAAAGAATATAAAAATAACAACAACCGTTCAGCCTAAACGCCACCCTCACCTACTGCTGCTGCTGTTGTTGTTGCCGCTGCTGCTTCTTCACTGAAACCACGTCCATTATACTGCTGCTGCTGCGATCGCCAGGGATGAGGGTGGAAATGAGAGAAAGCATTGGACATGTGCAGCAGCAGCAGCAGCGGCGGCAGCAGCAGCAGGGGAGAGAGCGATGGAGCGAGCTGGTCGAGGAGGAGGCGGAGACGCGTGCTATGCGAGAGATGATGTCGGAGGGGCTATGCCTCTCAGCGCGCCGGCCGAATGCTAATTCTGCCGGAGTAGGCTCGACCCCAACCCCGACACACGCACACACACGCGCCCCCCCTCTCTCTCTCTCTTAGAGGGGGGTTTCGTTTTGGGGGGGGGGGGGGGAGGAAAGAGGTTGGGGGTAAAAGGAGGTGAGATGGGTAGAGAGTGAAGAAGAGGATGATAATGACCGTGGTGGTGATGGTGATACGGCGAGAGGGGGTCGTGAGGATTACCTATGAATTTGGAATTAGTGAATCGTGATGATGATGATGTCAAATGGGATTGGGATATAGAAAGTTACTCGGATGATGACGATGGTGATGATGATGTGAATTGTGCATTACTGAATTGGTGATGTGTATTGCACATTACGGATAAGATCATGATGATGATGTGAATTCTGCAATCTGGATATGACGATGATGATATCTGTCGTGCATTGAGGAAATTATTATTTTGTGAAGAGATGATAAGATACAAAAAAGTTGTCGTAATGATGATGTAAATTACGCATTATGGAATTGGTGATGTGAAGAGATGATAAAAGAGAAAAGTTATTGGAATGATGAATTACGCATGATGGAACTATCGATTATTTGAAAATAAACTGGGATTTGATGATTATGCATTATAGAAAAATCATTATCGCAACGCTTTATTACCCCTGGTGGCGATAATGATGATGATCATAATAACGATGTTAACAATGGGTATAATGACCATGATGTTCACAATGATGTTCATAACGTTTATGACCATAATGATGTTATCATGATGGAGTTGTCTGTGGCGATAACGACGTTCAAGATGGCTTTCATGATAATGATGATCAATCATAATGATACGTGATATTGGTTTGTGGAAACAAAACACCGATCGCATTTAATGCGTTATTACGAGTTCTCCATCCATCTTGAAGATTAAATAATAGATGAGTGAGCACTAACATAACGTGTCATCACGTCACATGATATATATAGTTCAATGTAATGCACTACACTACGGCGGGTTGGAGAGCTCTTCATCCAGCAGCGGATCGACCATGGCTTCACTACACGACATCTGTGACGATATTTTGGTTGTCGTCGTGACCCCCCCCCTCCCCCAAACCAGCCCCACCCCCCGTGCTCAAGGGAAGGGGCGCGAACTTAAACAGAAACAAAAAGGCGGGGCCTAAAATAAGAATAATAGACGGGTCCTGAAAAGGAAAGGAGCAGGGTCGAAAGAAGAAGCGGAACCAATGGGGCGGCCTGATTCAGGCAAGGGGTGGGACCGAAATCAGGGAAGAGGCGGGGTCTAAAGAGGAGTAGGCGGGGCCTACATCATGGAAAGGGCGTGGCTTAAAAAGGAAAGGTGCAGGGACCTAGGAAATGAGCAGGCCCGGGCATAAAGAATGTGCAGGGCCTGTAGAAGTTGCAATTCTTTGTTGAGTTAAACGTATAGAGTCAGAAAGGCCACCCCACAGGCCAACTAGCAAGCTTCGTCTCAGTCGAATGGGGTTCACAAAACCACACTTAGTGACCACCTCCCTCGGCAGCTGTGCTTATGATCATCATCATGCACAACCATGTTTGTCTCAATCCACTGCTGGATGAGGCCATGTTTGCTTGCGGTGGGGCAGGGTGTGTGTGCATTATTGTGGCCTTGCGTGTATATGGTGGGGCTATATGTGTGCGTGGTGGGGCTGGGTGTGTGTGTGTGTATTATTGTGGCCTTGTGTGTATATGGTGGGGCTATATGTGTGCGTGGTGGGGCAGGGTGTGTGTGTGTGTGTATTATTGTGGCCTCGTGTGTATATGGTGGGGCTATATGTGTGCGTGGTGGGGCTGGGTGTGTGTTTGTGTATTATTGTGGCCTTGTGTGTATATGGTGGGGCTATACGTGTGCGTGGTGGGGCTGGGTGTGTGTGTGTATTATTGTGGCCTTGCGTGTATATGGTGGGGCTATGTGTGTGCGTGGTGGGGCTGGGTGTGTGTGTGTATTATTGTGGCCTTGTGTGTATATGGTGGGGCTATATGTGTGCGTGGTGGGGCTGGGTGTATGTGTGTGCATTATTGTGGCCTTGCGTGTATATGGTGGGGCTATATGTATGCGTGGTGGGGCAGGGTGTGTGTGTATTATTGTGGCCTTGTGTGTATATGGTGGGGCTATATGTGTGCGTGGTGGGGCTGGGTGTATGTGTGTGCATTATTGTGGCCTTGCGTGTATATGGTGGGGCTATATGTGTGCGTGGTGGGGCTGGGTGTGTGTGTGTGTATTATTGTGGCCTCGTGTGTATATGGTGGGGCTATATGTGTGCGTGGTGGGGCTGGGTGTGTGTGTATTATTGTGGCCTTGCGTGTATATGGTGGGGCTATATGTGTGCGTGGTGGGGCTGGGTGTGTGTGTATTATTGTGGCCTTGCGTGTATATGGTGGGGCTATATGTGTGCGTGGTGGGGCAGGGTGTGTGTGTGTGTATTATTGTGGCCTTGTGTGTATATGGTGGGGCTATATGTGTGCGTGGTGGGGCTGGGTTTGGTGTGGCTGCTACTCTGGTTATGTAAGCGGAAGGATCCACTCTGCTCCTCGCCATTAGCATTCGCCTCGTAATCCGAACAGAACCTGCTACTGCCTCCCGACCCAAACCACCAAAATCCGAGTCGTCGCTCAGCCTCTCCAGCCTGCCCTGCTCTCATTCTCACCATTCGTTCAGTCACTTATTCATTCATTTACTCATTATTCAATTAATGGTGAATAAATTACTCAACTTACTCCTTTACGTATTTATTCGCTCACTGGTTCCCCCCTTTTTCATAATTGGATACGTCATTAATTGCCTCGTTAATTAATTAAGTCATTCATTTATTAATCAATGCACTAATTTCTCAGTCATTCGCTCGCTGGTGTAACTTCAGTCATTCGCTCGTGCATTCATTCACTCCTCTACTCATTTGCTTTTTCACTTTTCCATGCATTCACTTGTTAATTGTCTTATGCGCGCTCATTCATAAACCTTGTTATTGACTCAGGTGGTGTGGTTGTGCATTTCTCTGTTTGCTTTGCAAAGATACAAATCAAATCGCCTCCTGTGCTTCAATGGGCCTGGGCCGAAGGAAAGGGAAAATTCACATTCCGATTGTGGAATCCAGTCCGCTCCACGAGACAAACCGCCGTTGACCAACCCACATTGTGGCACTCACTCGCCTGGTATACAGGAGGTCGTTGGTTCAAATCCCAACACTGACGCCTGTTTATTTGGAGTTTGCGGTGTCTCTCTCGTGTGGAATATTTTCTGGGACATCCGATTAACCGCTCCACATTTAGAAATACGCGTTTAGAGTATGTGGCTGCTATACATTTCCACGCGATAAGCCACTTCGTTAATCTATCATTTGTTATAATAGACAGGCCACTTTTGAAAAACAGCTACATAGCTCAGTGGGTCTTACCTGGTAAAAAAAAAAAGTTTAGTTTATAGTTTATCGACACCCTCTAGGGTTTGATTGGCTGAATCGACCCTCAACCTGCATTTGAACTCACAATCTTCCAAGTTCACATCAGCAGTTGAGTTCATCCCACATACGTGCAGTCGCACAGATGGTTGTTGTCAATTCCAGTGATGCGCAATAACGCTGAAACGTAGCACAAATGTCTTCCAAAATACGCGTATTCCAAAACTATATTTTTTCGTGGACTTTGACGTCTCAGAGGGTCGATCAATTGGCTTCACTTCAAGGGCATTCTCAGCCTAAAAGTTAAAACATCGGCGCTCTCAGTCCCGCGCCGAGCACTCGCAGATCAACCATGGCCCATCGTCGGTTGACCGAGTAGTTCGCCTCCCGGGGCACGTGACGCTAACGTCAATATAGAGGCGTGGACAAACATCCCACGAGCCGATGACTCTTGACCGCTGTCAATCAAACTGCCGGATGAGTGGCTTCTTCGCGCCGTTACGGGTGGGTTTCGTGGCTCGGTTTGTTCGATCATACTTCACCACGCCGGTCTTCGCGGGATTGGTGAAAGCGGGGGAGGGGCACATGTGGGAGGCACGGAGGTGATAGAAGTACGGTACAACACCGGATGAAGGAAGACACTCCCCGTGAAAGGACACGCGATGTGACATTTCATGTAACCTGGACAACAACGCCATCCGCTGGTGGCTGGGAGAAGTCTTCATAAAATGGATGGGGATCCAGTGCCGGATTGAGTTAGTGCGGGGCCTGTAGCATATGATATAAAGGGCCCTAAATAATAAAAAAAGCACATACATATTAAAAACACATTTTGTACTTGCATAGCAAGGTAATTGTATTTTTTCATTCGCTATACAGCCAGATAATACGACAAATCGCTAGCCTTAAACACCCAGTCGTTCGTAAAAGTTGAAGGCGGTATAGTACTATAGTAATAGAGCAAGTGCAGAATCACTGAACCGGAATTGATTGCTTGAAAGCATTTAGCGTGGGGCCCTTCAAAGTGCGGGGCCCGTAGCTACTACGCATGTAGCTACTACGCATGTAGCTACTACACGTGTAGCTACTACACGTGTAGCTACTGCACGTGTAGCTGCTGCACGTGCAGCTGCTACACGTGCAGCTGCTACACGTGCAGCTACTACACGTGCAGCTATTACACGTGCAGCTACTACACATGCAGTAGCTACTACACGTGTAGCTACTACACATGTGCCACGAGGATAATCCGGCACTGTGGAGATCCAATCTCTCATCTCAACCTCGAGATGTGGATCGATCCTTCTCTGATGGTCGGACAACAACAGCCGCGTTGAACTTCTTCAAAGCAGTTTTCAGATTGTTCGCAAGAAAGATTTAGAATTACATGGTACTAACATCAGTACAGAACGTTCGTCATCGTCATCAGCCGTGGTCAATCCACTGCTGGATGAAGGCCTCTCAATCCTTAATCCGTCACCATCTCTCGCGATGCCGACACCTGCACACGACAAGGAGATGATTGTATCGCTCCGTCTCCTTGGCTGACGTCTTA